ACATCGGTGAGATTGATGTACAAGTAGCTTTGTAAATGATTATATATAGAGAAGATGCAGCATACATCGGTGATGTGTGTAGCGTACATCAGTGCAATTGATGTACTGTACATGCTGAGACAAGAGATGTCCCCAGAAATAACAACTATAGTTGCGCCGGGTATCACCGTCATCAGCTGAAAGCATGACTGTAGCATCAGTCGGTTGTTTCCCGCCTGCATAAAGCAAGCCGACTGGCATGAGGTTTGAAGATTACCGTGAAATGGTAAACTTCTGCCTGGGGATGGGAGGGATTGGCTGCGAATCTCGCTTCTTGCTTTTGATGGGGCGCTATCTGACCGTGGTGACTAATCGTTATATTCAATCAACGAAGTTATTATAAGTAATCTTCCAATAATTCCGAATTGAGCAATTGATTGAATTATACTGTACTTATCTGAAAGCATGTGCTTCTTCATGTGCCGCTAGCTTATCTGTTTGCTTGATTTGGCTAATCTAACCACTATCCGGCTTGGATGGTGGGCATATCCCCGCTTAGCATACTTTTCAATCTGTTGACCTTCCGTCAACTCGAAATACTTCGTGAAATTTGAATTAAACAGTTATTATGAAAATGAATTAATGTACTGTAAAAGTGTCTTTAGAGAGTATTAAAAGTTCGTAATAATAAACTTTATCCGGATATAGCCGATAATCTATCCGGGTATGAACGACATTTTTTCCGGGGTATTATAACAACCAATCAAAACGAACTTTTTCAATGCTGTGCTGTACAAATGCACGTCTGTCGATCAGCATAACTACGTATTTGTACAGTATTTCCAATTCAAATGTTGACATTTTATGACAAACTTTCACAAGATTTTAGCAAACTTCTTGAAAGTGAATATAATTATGATACAATTATCGAAGTTGGCGAACAGCCAAATACTCAGCTTTTCAAAGTACATTCTGCAATCTTATATCAACGCTCTTCTTACTTTCAACAGAAATTAACAAATACGATTAAAGGAAATAATATATTTAACATTAAAATACCAAATATTTCTGTTAAAACATTTAATATTATTATTAAGTAAGTTCTTTGATTTTATAAAAATAAAAGCTTTATTATGAGTAAATAGAATTAATAGTTTCACATTTTAATTTTAATTAATTTCATATACATTTTAGATATATTTATGGCGGAGTAGTCTCTTTAGAGAACCTTGAAGCTTTTGGTATTCTTGATCTCTTGATCGCTTTTAATGAATTTAATTTTTCAGAATTCGTTGATTGTCTTCAAACTCGCCTTATTGAAAATAATGCTTCTTGGCTTCGTTTAAATTTTTCTCGCATTTATCAGATTAGTTTTCAAAGTGAAAATTTTAAAGCTTTGCAGAAATTTTGTAATGATATTATTATAAAACACCCAAATATGGTTTTTGATTCTGATGATTTTACCACTCTTCAAGAGAATGCATTGATTTCTCTTTTAAAACATGACGAATTACAACTGGATGAATCAGTGATTTGGGATAAAGTTATTTTATGGGGAAAAGCGCAAACACCAAATTTACCTTCTAATTGTGAGCAATGGAGTAAGGAAAATTTCAAATCCTTAAAAATTACACTTCAAAATTGTTTACCTCATATTAGATATTTTCAAATTTCCGGGGATGTAATCTTAGATAAAATACAACCTTATAAAAAAATTCTTGATAAAAATTTGTGGAATGATATTATTACAAAATTTTTATCTCCAGATAGACCTATTACTTCTACAATTTTACCTCCTCGCAAAAAATTGACAACACAACTTCCTTCTCGAAAATTAATATCTTTACCTTCTTCAATAATCAATTTAGAGCATGCAGGAGAAATTTCATCCTGGATTGATCAACGTTCAACAACTTATGATAGTGCAGAAATTCCATATGAGTTCAAACTATTACTTAGAGGTAGTAGAGATGGGTTTGATTCTAAAACATTTCACAAATTATGCGATAATATACCTGGCCTACTAGTGGTCTTAAAGGTTGAAAATTCAAATGAAATACTTGGTGGATATAATCCTCTTGGCTGGCAATCTTCGCAACGCAATTGTACATATGCAGTGGCACCTGGTAGCTTTATTTTTTCTTTAAAAAATGAAAATATGAAAGAATCTATTCTTAGTCGTGTAAATGATCAATCTGATGCAATTTAATATGGTACAAACTATGGTCCATGGTTTCATAATTTTGGACAACAAGATCCCTATGGCTTTAAAATATGGTATTTTGGTAGGAGCAATAAGTATCAACAGCCAATCAGAACGGTGGTTGCTACATTTACAATAGATGATTATGAAGTAATTCAAATGAGCAAAAATGCATAAATTCTGCTACAATATTATAGTTTATGTATAGATCCAGACGTTATTTATTTATATACTGTATATTTATTTATATGTTGTTAGAATTGATTTAACATCATAGAGTTTAAATTAGAGTGCCCAGATTATGCGGTATTGATCACTCTAATTGTTTTGGATCGTATCAAAAGTTATCATACAAGGGTAATTTATATTTTCTAATAAATAGGCTATTTAGTAATAAAAGTCAGCAAAAATTGAATCTAATTTAGGTTATTTGAGCGGGAGCCAGACATTTCCGAAAATTCGTAGTGTACAGCTTGAAGGCTTTCACTTCACTTCTCTCAGCCCCAGCCAACAATTATTTATCTAAATTACACAAATATACTGTATCCAAAGTCATCAAGAAAATATTAATCAAGTTCTTAGTTGCTGGTCTCCTTTTAATTTTCTTGATCTAATACTTCAACTAAACTTCTCATTGCAGCCTCAACATATTCTTTCTTTAATTTCGGTTAAAATTTTCTACTTGAAAGAATGAACCCAAGAATTAAGACTTTTAAAACCATATCTTAAAGATTTTCAAATGTGTTTGGGAAGCAATTATTAATGAAATAAATAGGTGAATAGATTATGGGAATACTTGACAATGAATTAAATAGGTTAAATGCGCTTTTAACGTGTTCTTCCCTGGAAGTCACTAGGTAGTTCTAAGTTGTAAAAAAGATAGAATAGCAGTTTAAAAATTAGTGTTTACGTGTATATAGTCCAAAGCAGTATCGTACGATAAAAAGTGAATGTACAGTTTCATTCAGACCAAAATACTATGTGAACAAAGATATCATAGACTAGAGTGTCAGACTTGTACAATTTAAAATGCATTTTTATGCGAAAATAAGAAATTTTGACTATGCTATATTGCAAATAAAAATTAGTGGATAGATATATTTAGCATTGTACACAAATATCGTACTAGTTACATCAAAAAAGATAAATTTACTACGCATTTTATGTGTCAATAAATAAATTTTTTTTTAGTTTCAAGGTGTGGTCTGGCCCCAGCATTATTGTGAAAGTTTGTACATCGGAAAGTTGTTATTTCTGCTTCTATGATCGCTTTATTTTATTGTTTCTTTGCTTGTAAATATATTTGTTTGAAAATCTTCGATGTGACACTAATAAACACTATGGTAAGCTAATTTGATGCCTTAAGTCGGCATTTGATATTATTCTGTGATCAATAACTCTTATTTTAAAACAAGAAAAGTTATATCAATAATATAATTTCTCGAACTCATTTCATTCAGTTTGTCCAATTGATAAGGCCCAATTATTGATTAAAGAATTTAAATTTACGTATCTTGTAAATGATGATAAAATACAAAATAAATATAGAAAGAAAACAATTGTAATGATGTTCTGTCAACATCACTGACTTTTAGATTAGAGTGTCAAGATTATGCGATTTCAATTCAGGTTGTATTATTTAAATAATACGAAAATCTTTGAAACCGCATAATCTGGAACATTCTAATTTCTACATACGGTCCTTGTAGAGCAGAAACTTTTAATGCAATGTCAGCAATTGTTGTGTCTACAAGAAAAATAATTGGAAATTTCTAAACACTTTTATTGCATATTGTAATTATTTAATTACATCAAAGCAAAAAACCAACGACAAGTATAAAATAGGTGTTCATAATTTCATGATAAAGGAATAACAAAACTTAACAATTATTCATTTTGTTTTAATTAGCGAAAATCCTCCTTTCACAACTCTTTTACAATACACGATGGTATTTTCAAATTCTACAAGTTAATATGGATTCTAAACATTGAAATAAGTTGTTTTATTTATTTTAATTGAAATTATTTCAATTACTATTAATTGAAGCTTATTATATGGGATCTTTGCTAGGAAAATGACTCTAAATTTGCCGGCCATCTAGTTATCCAATTTGAATAATTCTTTTTATTCACAAAGTCCCCAAATTAAAAAATATTCAATTAGCAATTAGTTTATATAATGGGCGGAGGTGTCAATATAACGTGGGCGTATTCATGGAGTTGAGGTGGTAATTCAATGCAAGAATTATAAAGAGGAAAACCCAATAGGTATTTTTTATGTAATATCATGAATTGTAAATATTTCAATTAATTGTTTGTTATTGTAGGACTCTTTGTCGTTGTATATTTAGATGGGGCTTTTACTCAACCCAAAAATTGTGGTGCGATCGGTATTGTGGTGAAGAATATTTACGAAAGATATGATAGATCGAGCAAAAAAAAAATCTGTATTTCCTGTTATTATGAGTTGAAGCACTGAATTTTATATATGACGTGAACTATAATATTACTTTTTGATTTATAAGTTTCTATTTAAATTTAATCTTGTTCTTTTCACACAATGCAATTGCTTTACTATGTCCGTTTACAGCTGCTAACTTTAAATATCTTTCACTCTTTTCTTTATCAATTTGAAATTTAATAAACCATTAAAATATATATCATCTAAATTATACTGAGCAATGTAATCACTATTATCAGCAGATCGAGTTAAATATTTAATAAATTATGGTCTATCTTTTCGCAAATTTTTATTTTTAATAAATGAAAATGCATAAAGTAATTGAGCAACAGCAACATCTTTATCAGCTGCTTGTTTTTATAACTTTGCTGTTTTTTCATCTTTGTTACCACCAATCCCTTTATATAAATACTTTCCATACCAAAAAGTTATTAACTCATCAACCTTCCAATATTTCTCAAGAAAGATTCTGTTTTCATTTTTGATTTTTAAGCGCTCGGGAGAATTTATTTTTAAATTTCTTCTATGATCATGGTTGGTTAAAAATTCGTCAGAGAAAGTTGGAATATTTAATCTAGATGGATTTTCTTTGATTTTCTTGTAATCCTTTTCTGGAATATGATTCAGTTCAGTTCCCATTTTGGCTTTCTGCTTAACATTCTTTTCATCTTAGCATTATGATGATAAGAACCAATTTTATATGTAAACCAGTAATGTATTTAATTTAGATGATTAATATTGAAATGAATTAAATTCAAAATTATTGATTATAAGCTCATCTGGTATATTGAAAATACTTCGAACTTCTTAATGCAATCACCATACTTATAACTTAACTGAAAAATTTCGAATCAAAATTTTATTTCAATTACCAAAGGATGTAGCTGAAGAGGATTAATTGGATTCCAATGCAATTTTATAATTATTTCAACTACCGCTGCAAAAATTAATCAATCCATATATTGATATTTTAATTTAGTTTATTGTTACCTATGAGGTGGTTTAGTTATTAATGTTAAAGTTGGTAAATTACCACAATGCCACAATATGATCATATGATTTTGCGGTCCCACGGTAGGGTGTCCAGGATTATGCAATGCAGATTTTCCAGAATCGGATAAATGCATCGAATAATCCTTTTATTTCGCGAAAATACAGGTAAAAAGATAAAATACTTTAATAGATTCATGAATTTTAATTTTAATTTAATCTAAATTAAACTTTAAATGTATTATTCTTGTAAATTGAAATTTCAATTCACAATTCTATTTAATCGAAATGAAATTTTTATTACAATCAACTATCAACATCAAATGCTTATAAATTAATAATTACTCAGAAATGTGTAAGAATGTTTGTTCAAAATTGTTTCAAGAGTATTATAAAGATTTACGCATAGATTATATATATAAAAGCATCGGTATAATTCTTCGTCAACACTTAAGAGGGTTGATTCACTCAAACACTTAAATTGATTTTATGGCTCCTTCATAAATTGATTTTTACTTAACCTAAAAATCAGGGTTCGTCCAGACCCGAATCCGTTATGCTATGATGTAATATTTCACATACAGCATGCATAATCTAGGGGGGAAGATTACTTGGTATCTTCCAAAAATTATAAATGTAATCCAAGTGCACGAAGTAATAATTCACATACGACATACCAGCAAGGGTCTGCAAATTTATGCATAAAAATCTATCATTACAACAATTGAGCAATTGATTGATAATTTATATAGTGAGTTACGATTTGTCAAATTATAAGATTCTTATTAAAGATTCACGGTATCTCAAAGAACAGCTGGCTATGTTTAAAAAGAAGGATGAAGATTTAGAAACTTTAATTTCTGCAAAAAATCCTCAGAATATTCAAGTTAGGAATTAATCTTTCATTAATAAAGATTGATTTTAATTAATTCATTTGCTTGGAATCAAGTAGTATTTGAAATATTATTATATTATTCGTTTACTTACAAGTTATTTCTCATTATACATAATAAACATCTATTAAAATGGATAATTGATAACATCGTGATACGTATTAGCCAATCATAATTTTTTTGCAATTTTACTAAAATAGATAATTGTGATATTAGCCAATCATATTTTTTTTGTA